GAATTGGGTGACAATGTGGGTATTTGAGAAGTGAGTTTTTTTGAAATTTTTATGTGGTTTGACTATTTTAGTAGGGTTTTTAGTTTGTGTGTTTGGGAAGATGTGATTGATTTTTTAAGAATTATGTATTGAAAAATGTGTCTGAAATGATAGTGGAATATAAATTGACCAAATTGCCCCTAATGATAATAGGAAATATTTGCTAATGTCCACGTGGCCACCATGGCTCTAACCGCTTACACACAAATGCAGAATTTTGACGTGGCTATTCAATGTAATTTGTCCGACTTTCAACACTGCTGCAGACCTCTAATTAGAGGTGCAGCCGTACAGCTCTAGTGAGCTGTCAAGCAAAAAAAAAAAAAAAAAGACAAACAGTGAAGTAAAAGACAAAAGAAGGGGAAGAAAAAGACAAATTAGAGCTCCATTAGTGGTCTTTTTTTAGAGGTCTGAATCATTTTTCGTTCGACTTTTGGTGCGATTGTTTGCAATAAATTAAAAAAATCAATTAATTGGTAGGAAAATGACTGGTAGCTCGAAAAAAGTGGCCCGATTTTGACTCGAATCGCAAAACGACGTCGTTTTGCGATTCTTTTTTTTTTTTTTTTTTCTCTTCCTTTTCTTTCTCTTCCTTTTCTTTCTTTCTTTTCTTATTCTTCTTCGTTGAACACAGGAGAAGAATAGAGGGGAAGAGGAGGAGAGAGGGAGAAAGAGAGAGGAGAGGAGAGAAGGGCCCCTCCTGTGCCTCCGCCGCCGCCGATCGTCGCAGCCCCGCGCAGCCCCGCCTCCTCCGGCCTGATTTTGATGGCCCCCTCCCCTCCAGTTCTCCTTCTTCCTCCTCCTTCCTCATCCTTCCTCCTTCTTCTTCTTCTCTTCTTCTTCTTCTCCGAATTCGAGTCAAATTCGAGCCTCCAAATTCGAGCTACGAATCGGAGTCGTAATTGGTAAGTTGCTGTTAGTTTGTCATATTAAAATTAATTAAATTTTTTGTTTAATTGAAAATTGTATCTATTTCTCTAAAAAATTAAAAACATTTGTTTGGAAACATTTATTTTCATTTTCACATATAAAAATTAATTACAATTTTGTTTGGTTTACTGAATTTGCGGAAAAAAAAAATTAAATATTTTTTTTAAAACCCAAATAGCACCCAAAAAAAAAATTAAAATCTTATGAATGATCAACGGAAAATAATTTGCTCAATCTTCAATTTCAGAACAAATTTCCCACATTAATAATTCATCAAACCAAATTTCCCAAAGCAGATTTATTTATTTTTTTGCCAAATTAATAATTCATCACATGTAAATTACAAATTTTATTAAATCTGATGAATGCCAAATGTTGATGAATCCAAGTTTTTTAATTTACACAGAAAATCAAATTACGCCAAAAATAAAATAAAATTGGATGAAGATTGAAAAACAGTCTGTGCGAAGAAATTTTTTGTTTTGTTTTACTTGTTATTTAGATGGCAGAAAGGTTAAAAAAAAAAAAAGGGTGAAGAAAATCTCAACAAATTGGTAAATGAATGAAGACGAAAAAGAGGAAAAAAGGGTTGCTCAGCAATGTATTTTTTGTTGCACACGACCAAGTGAAGATCAGTAGCAAGATCAGTGACTGAACAACCAACGAAGAAAAAAAATTGTCGATTACATACATCATCATTGGTGCGGTGAAGAAAAATTCGTAGAAATGGTGTTTCGCAACCGTACATTTGTATGTCGTCGAAGATCACCTACTTGGTCTTCCGTAACAGTGCCGCCGGAGTGAGCCGCCGGAGTGAGGTCTTCGACTCTTAGCTACACAAGCGTCTAGGTAGAGCTTCGGTTAGAGATATGAGACAGATGAGAGATGCATTTCATGTTTCCAAACAGGTATTGCAACGGAGAGTAAATACGTCATTTTACACACAAAATGCCCTATAGCTGGACAACGCTTGTTCCCTTCGCTACAAAGCTCAATTTTGAAATTTTTTTCCGTTGGTGAATAAAATATGTCCCAACCCAGGTTCCCAAACACCACCATATCATTAGGAGTGTAAAAATGGCCCGAGACCTGTGAGTGATCTGAAACTTGTCTGCGATTCGAGGTGGGTCTGGCTCATTTTGGCCCGGTTAGGCCCAAGCCCGAGCCCATCCCATGACCTTGGGCTTGGGCCTGGGTCTTTCATTTGAGCCCAACCCTCCCTTTCTAGTTTTGCCTACCAACAGTCAAATTTTTAAAAATAAATAAAATAAAAGGTTTGCAAGTTGCAACAATTAAATAATAATAAAAAATTACATAATTACATATTTTTTTAATTATAAGTTCATATTAAAAAAAAAAGTCATACATAATTAAATTTAAATACCATTATACATGAAACATAGCCAAACATCTCATTAATTTGATAATTAAATTTAAATACCACCATAGTATTGTTATTGCTATAATTTGATAATTAATAGTAGCAAATTATCAAATTAGGTTGTGTTTGTTTGGACAAACTAGATAAGGGGAGATTGTAATCCATCGAATTGTTAGTCCCGGGATATATTGTCCCCGGACTATTTGGTTGAATTAGATTTGTATCCTATATTTGTTTAATCATGGGATTAGATGTCTGGATTGGACTATTTTTAGTGAATCCAATGTTTGGTCAGACAGACTGGATAAAGATAAATGTTCAAAAGACTATTTTACCCTTGTAATTTATAATTTTTATTTAATATATAATTTTAGATTTGTAATCTACAATTTATAATTTAACAACACTAAAAAATTTTAATTTATAAGGCCATAATTTTTAATTTATTATTTTCAATTAAATTAAATTTATGATTTATAATTTATATTTTTTAGTTAATATATAATTTTAAATTAACAACACTAAAAAAATAATTTTATTTAATATGTAAATTTAATTTTTTAACGACACTAAAAATATTTAATTTATAAGGCCATAATTTTTAATTTATTATTTTTAATTAAATTAAATTTATAATTCATAATTTATAACTTAAATTTTTTATTTAATATATAATTTTAAATTAACAACACTAAAAAAATAATTTATAAATGTTCAAAAGACTATTTTACTATTTTCTAATTGTTTGCTAAGTAATAGCATGGGGATAAAATGGACATTTCAAAGCCTAATCCGATGGGATACCAATTCCATGGAAATAATCTCACCCCCCTATGAGATAGGATAGTCCCACAAATATAAACAAACAATGGACTATTAGTCCAGTGAGACTAATAGTCCAATCACACACCCTAATCCTTCAAAACAAACACACTCTTATAGTAATGGTGCTCCAATAGTCAAATGTCATTTTAGTAAATCTCAACCAACTTTCTCTCTAATTTTGCAGGTGTTGTTTGGATATAAGTTTTTAGTGATTTTTTTTTATTGTTTATTTTTTATTTTTTGTAACCTTTTTTCAAACTTTTTCTTAAAAAAAAATTAAATATTTACATTCGAATACAAATCCGAACACAAAAACTATGCATTCGAAAGATTGGTCGGACTCCAGTCGTTCGAGTGATCATCCAGTGGAATAGTTTATATGTTTAGTTCTGCAAAAATTTGGTTTTGCAAAAAGTTATATGTTTTGTTGGGAGGAAGAAGGAGAGAGAAAAAATGTTGGTTTTGACTGAGTTGATACATATAACAGTTGCCAAAATTTATGTTAAACTTGACATAAATTTTGACAATTATCAAATTTAATAGAGCATTACTTCTCAAATAGCAATGGCAACTCTAATACAAATCATTGGAGATACTCTTAATTGTCGCATAATGACTTTCCTGTCCCACCTTAATGGGCTCTGTTTAATTTATGTTTTAATATCTAAAACATAATTTGGTGGAAAAAAAAAAATTTTATTGACCACTTTCATATAGTCTTATTTTTTTTGGAAAGCAGAAATAACTTTTAACAAATTAAATTTATTTTTTAATATTTATTGTTATCAAATTAATTTTTATTTTTTTTTAAAATTTAAAAATTATTTTGAAAAAACAAAACAAACATAGCCATAAGTTGTATTTGAATTCTTACAAAAATATACTGTATAAAAACCTTTTTATTTATGGAATTAGCTACTCTTCGATTCGTTGTCGGATTGGACGGCATTATTCCATTGTTGTGGGCTTTGATCCAATCTATTTCAATTATTTAAATTGTTTAATCTATAAAGTTGGTCGAATATATTATCTCTGTAAAAAATTATACTAATGTGATATCAATAAACATTTTATTAGAGCACATGTCAGTTAATGACATGTATAAATTTCAAAATAAATTATAATAAAAATATAATTTGATCAAGTAACTATTGACATTTAATTATCATAAATTTTTTGTAATGATAATGTAATCAATAAAATTTAGACATTGAATACTTTGAATTATAACGATGAGTTCAAATTAGAATCCAAAATAATCCAACAATACCCTCTATTCAGGCCAAATTTGACATGATTGAAAAAAGTCAAAAAGTCACTATTCTATTTAAGTCATATGATCTTATTTAGTCTCCGTTTGGAGAGTGGGTTGGCTTTTTGGCTTTTTGACTTTTTTGGCTATTTTAGCCTGGGCTTAAAAGCTTAGTTTGGGAAGGGTTTTTTGGCTTTTTGACTTTTTTGAGTTTTTTTCTGAGAGAAGAATGTAATGATTATGGTTGGATGTGATGTTTTATTTGTTATGGCTAAAATAGCCTATTTTGTTTTTTGTAGCTAAAATAACCAAAAAAGCCTGCAAACCCACTTGCCAAACACAGGCTTAAGTCACATCACTTCTCTAACACATCACTTCAAACCCAACCCATATTTCATAAAAAGTCAAAAAATACACTTATTTAGTCTTCCCAAACTATGCCTCAATAACAAACTAGAAAGGAGCCAACTCCATTATTTATTTATTATTTTGAAATTTAACAAATTTAATAATATAACAAAAAAAGCAAAAAAAAATATATATATAAGAATCATGCTTCATTCTTCATCTTCTTCAGTCGCTCTGCCTAACTGAACTCTCATTCTACTCTCCTCTTCTTCTTCTTCTTCTTCTTCTTCTACCTCCTCTCTCTCTCTCTCTCTCTAAAAGCAGAGTGTGCAGAGAGAGAACCAACCTCCATAAAAATGCGCTTCATCCTTCTCCTCCTCCTCCTACTCCACCTGCATGTTCACCCTTCCACCGCAGCACGAATACCAGAATACAAAGCTCTCCTCTCCCTGAAAGCCTCCATCACCGACGACCCCCAATCAGCTCTCTCGACATGGAACATCTCTACAAGCCACTGCACATGGGTCGGAGTCACCTGCGATTCCTACCGCCACGTGACCGCCCTCGACATCTCCGGCCACAACATCTCCGGCACTCTCTCCTCCGACGTGGGTCACCTCCGCTTCCTCCTCAACCTCACCCTCGCTGCCAACCAGATCTCCGGCCCCATCCCCCCTGAAATCTCCCTCATCTCCGGCCTCCGATTCCTCAACCTCTCCAACAACGTCTTCAATGAAACCTTCCCTTCCCAACTAGCTCTCCTCAAAAACCTCCAAGTACTCGACCTCTACAACAACAACATGACTGGCGATTTACCCATTCTCGTCTCCGAAATGACCAGCCTCCGCCACCTCCACCTCGGCGGCAATTACTTCTCCGGTAGCATTCCAGCGGAATACGGCCGCTTTCCCTCCCTCCAGTACCTGGCTGTTTCCGGCAACGAGCTCGACGGAGCTATTCCTCCTGAAATCGGAAACTTATCGACCCTTCAACAGCTCTATATTGGCTACTACAATAACTTTTCCGGTGGTATTCCTCCGGAGATCGGAAACTTATCCCAACTCGTCCGATTCGACGGCGCTAGCTGTGGACTCTCCGGCGCGATTCCGGCGGAGATCAGCAAGCTTCAGAACTTGGACACTCTGTTTCTTCAAGTGAACGCGTTTGCGGGAGCATTAACGACTGAGCTTGGTTACTTGAAGAGCTTGAAATCTATGGATCTGTCAAACAACATGTTTTCCGGCGAAATACCGGCGTCATTTGCCCAGCTCAAGAACTTGACCCTTCTCAATCTGTTTCGAAACAAGCTCCATGGTTCAATACCCGAGTTCATTGGTAATTTGCCGGAGCTCGAGGTGTTGCAACTCTGGGAAAACAATTTCACTGGGAGCATTCCTCATGGTTTGGGAACAAATGGGAAGCTTCAACTCGTCGATCTCTCGTCGAACAAATTAACTGGGACTCTGCCTCCAAGTTTGTGTTCTGGTAATCGTCTTCAAACCCTGATCACTTTGGGTAACTTCTTGTTCGGTCCCATTCCTGATTCGCTTGGGCAGTGCGAGTCACTGAGTCGAATTCGAATGGGAGAGAACTATCTAAATGGGTCGATTCCCAAGGGGCTATTGAGCTTGCCTAGTCTCACCCAGGTTGAACTTCAAGACAATCTTTTATCCGGAAGCTTTCCCGAAACAGATTCAATCTCTGTCAGTCTCGGACAGCTCAGTCTGTCCAATAACCATCTCACCGGTTCGTTACCTCCCACTATCGGCAACTTCTCCGGCGTCCAGAAGCTTCTCCTCGATGGGAATCAGTTTTCCGGCAACATTCCCCCTGAAATCGGAGAATTGCAGCAGCTATCGAAGATTGATTTCAGCCACAACAGTTTCTCGGGTCCAATCGCTCCGGAAATCAGCCAGTGCAAGCTCTTGACCTTCGTCGATCTCAGCCGAAACGAGCTCTCTGGAAAAATCCCAACTGAGATCACAGGTATGAGGATACTAAATTACTTGAATTTGTCCCGAAATCACTTAGTTGGAACCATTCCAGCATCGATAGCTTCGATGCAAAGCTTGACTTCGGTTGATTTTTCATATAATAATCTATCTGGGTTAGTTCCTGGTACTGGTCAATTCAGTTACTTCAACTATACTTCGTTCCTCGGCAACCCTGACCTCTGTGGCCCATATTTGGGTCCTTGCAAAGATGGGATTGCCAATAGCACTCACCAAGGACGTGTTAAAGGGTCATTCTCAGCTTCTTTGAAGCTCTTGCTTGTTATTGGGTTGCTAGTTTGCTCGATTGCTTTTGCTATCGCTGCAATTATTAAGGCCCGATCTTTAAAGAAAGCGAGCGAGGCTCGTGCGTGGAAGCTTACGGCTTTCCAACGCTTAGATTTTACTTGTGACGATGTCTTGGACTGCTTGAAGGAAGATAACATTATAGGGAAAGGTGGTGCTGGGATTGTTTACAAGGGTGTGATGCCTAATGGTGATTCGGTTGCGGTGAAAAGATTGCCCGCAATGAGTCGTGGGTCGTCTCATGACCACGGATTCAATGCAGAGATACAGACCCTCGGGAGGATTAGACACAGGCACATTGTGAGGTTATTGGGGTTCTGCTCAAATCATGAAACAAACCTTCTTGTTTACGAGTACATGCCTAATGGAAGCTTGGGTGAAGTGCTTCATGGCAAGAAAGGGGGTCATTTACATTGGGACACAAGGTATAAAGTTGCTGTGGAGGCTGCAAAGGGGCTTTGCTATCTTCACCATGATTGTTCACCATTGATCCTCCACCGAGATGTGAAGTCCAACAACATCTTGCTTGACTCTAATTTTGAAGCACATGTTGCTGATTTTGGGCTTGCCAAGTTCTTGCAAGATTCGGGCACTTCCGAATGCATGTCTGCCATTGCTGGTTCATATGGATACATAGCACCAGGTACAATCTAGTTCCAAAAATTAATCATTGAAGTATGAACTTTTCGTGCTTCATTAGGTACTTATTTGCTTCTCCAAGTACTTAATTTGTCAAATGAACTTGAGACTTGAGGAGCCTACTTTTGACTCATGATGCTGTTTTGATTGAGAAACTTGATATCTTTAATTAATTTCTTTCTATACTTTGGTTTATTGTGGTCTAATTTGACTATGTTGTTTGTATCATCATGATGATATGTGTTGTGTGGTCGTCTTGGAAGGTATATATTCTAACTATCAGTCTTCATTTGTCTTTGGCTTTGGCATTGGCATTAAATAGCTGTTGGTGGTTCTTGACTGATAGTTCACCAAGTGATTGGTCTCTTGTCCCATAAATGGGACCTCAGACCTGAAGATGATTTGTAACTACTTAGTTAATGTTTTTTTTTTTTTTGGATTTAAAAATAACATATGCTACTATTTATAGCAAAAATAGAGCCTATTTATGCTCCCAAACTTAATATAGGTAATATTTCAAATGCAGTCCAACTGATGATTTAAACTATTTGTTAGGAACATTAATTGTACATGACAAATTAGTTACCTCAAATTTGAACTAAACTTAGTGACCTTGTGAGCTACTATTATTGAATTTGATTACTGCATGTTCATTTTTGACTGAAACAAAAATTGCCCTTTTCAGAGTATGCCTACACTCTCAAGGTCGATGAGAAGAGCGATGTCTACAGCTTTGGCGTAGTTCTCTTAGAACTTGTAAGCGGCAGAAAACCAGTTGGAGAGTTTGGTGATGGAGTAGACATAGTACAATGGGTTAGAAAGATGACCGATGGGAACAAGGAAGGAGTGCTAAAAATCCTCGACAAAAGACTAGCCACAGTCCCCCTCCACGAGGCTATGCACGTATTCTACGTGGCAATGCTGTGCGTTGAAGAACAAGCTGTGGAACGCCCAACCATGAGAGAAGTTGTCCAAATACTAACAGAGCTTCCAAAGCCACCCAACTCGAAACAGGGCGGAGACTCAATGGCAGTCACAGAGTCCTCCCCTCCACCAGTCATTTCTCTCGAGTCTCCCGATGCAGCAACTAGAGACACAAAAGAACATCATCAGCCATCGCCACCTGATCTTCTTAGCATTTGAAAAATGTTCTATTGGGATAGGAAGTGTTTGCTTTAGTTTTCCATGATTTGGGTTAGCTAAGGTACTTGTATTTCTTTTCTTTTCCTTTCTTTTATTTTCTTGGGTAATTATGGGGGTGGGGGAAGGGTGTTGCTCTGTTTAGCTTTAAGGCCTTGTTAATGTTTGAAGTGTTTTTTTTTTTTTTTTTTGGGTGTACAGTGGGATTTTGGGGAGGGGGGGTTTTCTCTTTTAACATAAATTATGGTTCATGATGTGCTCTTGTCTCTCTTCTGGTTCTCATGTTGATGGCACTGCTAGAGCTTTGGTGTGCACATGAATTGTGTTTTCAGTGTATGATTTCTCATGATAGAGAGGGGGGAGGAGGCATGTACTAGTAGCAGTGTAAATGAATGATAGGTCCAAGAGAGTGGGGTGGACCATGAGGCTCAATAGTCCAGTGTCTTTCAAGTACCGAGACAGTGTCAGTCAGTGGGGTTCACTAATTGAGATGAGGACTCACTTGAAATGAAAACTCGCTCCCTTGGGATATGGGTGCGTGGGTATTTGTTTTGGGGAGATGGACTTGAATTGAATTCAACTTTGGGCACAGTATTGAGTCAATTTGATGAATGCAGACTTTCCCTTTTCATGAAGCAAGTATCTCTTTCCTCATTTACTATGATCTTTATGTAAGTCTTAAATTTACATTAGCTCTGCCATAGCTGTGTTTGGTTTGGAGGTTGGCATTGAATATAAGGATGATGTCAAAGCTAAATCATTATGGTTACGTTAATGGAAGTCAAAGTTTGTCTATCTAATTTTATGTTGCTGTTGCATTTAGTATTTTATTTGTGGAGTATAGGAATTCAATTTTTTGGTTCCCTGATTTTGGTATCATCGCTAGTATTTCCTTGCATGTGACGCACATGCTAAGATAGCAAAGTTGTTTCGAAGTAAGTGAGATATGTCCTATGGGTTGTTGAGCCTTTTGAATACAAAATCGAGATTGTGTTTAAATGTCCAAACTGCCCTTCTTTGCTATGCTTGTTAGTGAGTTTCCTCTTTTGGCCAACACAATATTAAGTGGTACCCTCGGACAGTGCTAGTAATCAGGAATTGGGTGAAAATTGTTTTCAAAATAGTTGAAAAAAATTAGAAAGTATTTTGATTTCAGAAAAAAAAAAAAAAGTGTTGAATTCAATCAAAACCGGTTTGAATTTTGTCTTCTCTGTTTTTTTGAACTAGGGAGTCTTGTTTTTTAGCCAAATGCTAGTTTGGAATATTTTCTTAAACGCAGCTAATTTGGTGAAAACAGGATTCATCTTAAAGTCCTTTTGACTTCAAACGAGAGTTAACACAACTTTGAATTAGGTTTCATAATAAGAACATAAAATAAGGGATTTTGACTTCTCTTAAGTTGTCATCTTAACTTGAGAGTGTTTGGATTCTGTAGGTTTATTTTGGAACTGATTTTGGTGATCCGAATTGTTTATTTTTTAAGACTCATTGAGTAAAATATTTATGTAAAAAATAAGAATGATCGGACATCGGTAATTATATGTTTGACTCATTTATTTTTAAAAAATGGACGATAAATATAATTTCAAGAATTTTTATAATATAATTTTAATTCAAACATAGAACTATCGATGTCTGATTATCTTTATCTTTTGTATTAATATTTTACTCAATGAGTCTTACAAAATAGATGGTTTGAATCATCAAATTTTATTTTAAAATGAGCTTACTAAACTAACACTCTCAAATTGAAATGCCCAACTTGAGAGATGCCAAATCTTAAAATTAAAACATGGAATGACTTATAAAAAGAAAATAGTAGGTTAAAATTTAGGAACATTAGTGAAATATCATTTTTCAATTTTGAATAGTAAGAGAAGTCCAATTTTTTTTTTTATTAGTTAAGGTCTTTTAATAATAGTATTAGAGAAATTTCAGCTCGTTGCAGATAAATTGGTTGAAATTTCTCTTTGAAGAGTTAGAAATTTCTGTGAAAATATCGAGGAACTTTAACTATAATAAAATATTACATGTCTTTTATCTTATAAAATTATAATATCGGGGATCTTAAACTAATTTTTTTAAAAAATTTATATGGCTGAACTAGGTGTTTTTTAAAAAATAATTTTTAAAAACTAAAATAAAAAAATAATTTTTAAAAACTAAAAGATGAAAAAGTTAACTATGTTAAAAAAATATTAAATTATATTGACCTCTTTTAAAAAAAAATTTAAAAAAAGAACAAACTCCACATTTTTAACATAATTATCATTACTTCTCTTTTAGTAAGGTTAAATAGACCAAAAATAACATAGATGGTAGAAAGATACACAAGATAAAGTATACATTTCAATGTAAAAGAAAGACATCATCATTTTTTTATTCATACAACTAAAGGATTTCTGATGAAAATGGGACCAAGTGTTATATGAATTAAAATTTTTAAAGAATCTAATGTAGTTATGTCAAATTCTCAAGGAATGTGAGTGTAATTTATCCATTAAAAAAATTAATTCAATTTTTTTAAAAAGTTCGAAAACTAAATGCATAAATTATAAATATACCTACTGAGATTTGCTTAAAATATGAATTGTTATATGTAATCTGAAAAGTAACAAATATTTCTCTGTCATAATTTCTATTTAACAAAATTAATTAAAAAATAAAATTCTTGCTTAAAATAGGAATTGTTATATGTAATTTGAAAAGTTACAAATGTTTTTGTCATAACTTTTATTTAACAAAATTAATTAAAAAAATAAAATTATTAACCGTTCTTTATATAATAATAAAATTTCTTAAATTACTAATTGAAATAAATTTATGATATTATTAAAATTGTTAATTAAATTGATAATTTATTAATAAAATGAGATTTTTTTATAGAGTTAAAAATTCCGGCTGCGTTTGGTAGAGTTTTATAAATATAATTTGAGAGTATTAGTTGTATTTTGAGTTTGTGAGTTGTGGAATTATAATTTGAGTGTATAAAATTTGTTTGGTTATGGTTTTTGAATGAGTGTTGAATTGAGTTTTGAATTAAGTGTAGAATTGTGTTTTGAAAGTTTGATTTGAAATGTTAAGTAAGAAAATTTGTTTGGTTATGAGTTTTGGAAAGAGTTTTCAAAACTTAATTCAAATTGTTATAACTCATAACAAAACACATTACTTTCACACTATTGAAAATTCTGATCAACACTCATAACCAAAGACGGACTCCAAGGAAGCATCTTTAATTTGTCAGCAACACAGAGTGCTCCGGAGCTTTACAGTTTGTCAATTAAAGTTTTATCCCAATGCATTAACCCGACGTGTGCTGAAAGAGAATTGGCTACCTGTGAATACATACGTGACGTGAAGAAAAACAAAATGAATGCTGGCCGCGCAGAGTCTTTGGTCTATGTTCATTATAACCATCGATTGTTGACAAGGAACCGAGAGGATTATGAGGGGTCATATTGGAACTGGGATAATTTTCTTACTGACGATAATTTGGAGATTGACTTAGAAGCAATTGAAGATAAAGAATATGCAATGCTTCATGGTAATGAAATTAAGGCAGCTCAGTCCTCGCCATTTGGAACAACTTCCACGCGTTATCAAACTTCGACTCGAGGATCTTCCAAATTGCAAGTGAAAGAGATTGTCAGCAGTAAAAGGCCACGCATGAGGTAATTAGTCTAGTCTTTTTCCGTCTTGCTTGCGATGAGGAAAAAGATCAGTTAGATGGGGTTGTCGTGGCGGTTGTATTTTTTAATGATCTTGTAAATAAACTATTATGTAGTGAAATTTTCATTAACTTCTTTGTTTTGAACTGAGCTTTTGGATGGGGGATAGAATTTCAAAGTGAAGTCTGCTTTGTATTTTACTTCTTACATGCATGACTGTTCCGAGGAAGGCAACTTTTGGTATCATTTTCATTTTATGGATTTATATTTTGACGAACAGAAAAATTGTTTATCAAACTATTTATGAAAATTATATTCATGAAAAATTTCTGAAAACCGACTTTCTAAACAAAACAATTGTTTTCACACAGAAACAAAAACAATGGTTATTTTCAAAGTTTTTATTATTTTTGTGGCAGAAACCCAAAAAAAAAAAAAAACAATTTTTTTGGCCAATTAGAAAAGACCCCAATACTCCTACTGAGAATCTAAGTTATTTTTCAGATTATAATTTGAGATGCTTATCAAACGGACCCTTTAATGTCATAATGTAATTTATAATTTACCTAAACCAAACGGCGATTTTGCTATTGCCAGGTGGGTGCTGGCTGGTTCGTCCACTGTAACTGCTCCGTGTCTTGTCTTTTTTTGTTTAGACCCATGACAAAAAATGCCACGTAGATACACTTTGTAATGTTGTGTGTTGTATCGTATCAACTCATATCATGTACTAAACAACAACGTAGGGTTTATATGACTCTGATTTTACATACCAATGTTGGGTTTTTCAGATCTGCGATCAATCCCGATGATAACCTGGAATGCCCCATCACCGTTGGATGGTACGTACATGCACGATTTGCAGTGGGTTTTGAACCTTGATTTTGAGGACAAATTTTGATTGATAGATCGCATTAATTTTATTTTCAAGAATAGTTTTGAGGGTCTTGATTTGCATAGTGAATGAATGTTCTCTCTCTCTCTCTCTGTTTAGTACACAGTATTGCGTGCTGGAATTTAGCTGGGGAGAGTGGATTCTCTTTTTACAAATATTGTGTGGAAAGTCGTGTGTTTGGCTATTTTCTACTTTGGAATTAATTGCTTGAAAAGGTAAGGAATATTTGCCCTCTTGGTTCGGCTGTACTTGCTGACTTGAGAGAGTCTTTGGTTTGTTTGGCAAAAATGCAATTTTGGGTTATAAAAATGTTTGAGATTCTTTTTTTAAGGGTTTCATGACTTTTAATTTGATTTTGGTCTTTGATGTGTGTGCAGAGTTCAATTATATATGTGTGAATCCTATATTATATGTATGGATAGAATGAGCATAGGAATTGTAAGCGTTATATATGTGTAGAAGTCTCTATCATAATTATTGTTAGTTATATGCCAAACAGTGAAATCAAACTAAGGCTTCATTTGGCTACGTTCCGTGGGATTAAAAAAACACAAACAACAAAATAAGTTAAATAAATTAATGAGATAAAATGCTACATCCAAACTAATTATTTCACTTTTTTCTCATAAAATTTAAAAAAGTCAAAAAAATTTTGTTAAATGAACCTTTTAGTCCCAAATTAAAAAAGTCTAAATTTCAAAAAGCCAACTAATTTTTTTTTGCCAAACGGCGACTAAGCCTCCGTTTGGGAAGTGAGTTGGCTTTTTGGCTTTTTGGCTATTTTGGCCTGGGGCTAAAAAGCCTGGTTTGGGAAGAGCTTTTTGGTTTTTTGGCTTTTTGACTTTTTTGACTTTTTTTGTGAGAGAAGAGTGTAATGATTATGGGTTGGATTTGATGTTTCGTTTTTTGTGGCTAAAATAGCCTATTTTGTTTTTTGTGGCTATTTTAACCCCTAACCTACCAAAATCAACTTCCCAAACTATGCCTAAAACTATTATATTCAAGATAGAGGTGGGCATTCTTCCAATCAGAAGGGTTTGGGTCAAATCGATATTATATAATAAGAGATTTTATATTTATCTAAATCCGGCCTAGTTTGGTTCTAACATTGGGCCTCTCTACACCTTTCTAAGTTCGATTCAAAAAATAATTATAAATCATAAGTTCAATCATTGGGTTATATGTTAAAAACATTAAAATATTCTATAATTAAATTCAATCACATATTATATTTCTT